ATTCGAGCGGTATGGAGATGATCTTCATCTTCTTCATTTTTTCTTTCTGATTTGTACATTTACTCTGGAATGAAATTTGAAAGTTTTCTACCCTTTATCTATAATTTTTATTATCTTTCTTGGCCTTTTTTGTCGCTCCGTGATCTTGTCCTCCTCTCCCTGAGGGGTTTCCATCTGCCATCAAGACCTGGACTTGGTTCAATGCTGTGTAGGAGCTCCAAAGTGCAATCAGTGTCTTTGCTGTAAATCAGAAACACTCCTGGTCCTCGTCTGATTGGATCCCAATCATCTTGAAGCACAAGCGAAAGAGAATAAACACATTTTATGAATAAAAATGTTCAGAGTCACGATATGTGGAAGAGAACAGGATGGCTTTTATGTGGATGTTTTCTGATCTTACTGACTAATGCACATGTTTCACCAGCACTGCAACATGTGGAGGTAACGCTGGGGATATTTTGGTAAAACCACCCAAAATCGTACCCCTAATGACATCATGATTTCTCTAAATTGCTGCAAGACGTTTTCCTGACTTTCTTTGGAGAAGTATTTTATGTTGGAGCAGCTCTGAGAACTGAGTGCATAAAATAAAAGATTTCTTTATGCCTCAGGATAATTTGAGCACTTGTTATCGGCTGCTGTAGTTCGCTAAGGTGAAACTAATCGATACAGCCGGAGTTCACAACTACAGGCATCTCATTGTGGTTTCTAAGGAAAGGTAAAGGTAAAAAAAAACTCAAGAAGAATGGAGAGAAAACCCTGATTAACAGACAGTCTGTGGAAACTGGGAACTATGAGGATGTGGACACATTTCAACAGAAGCAAAACAGTAAAAAAAAATCTGGACATATGTGAAATGTTAGTTTGTGCTATCGAGTAGAAAAAATGCAAAAAGGAAAATTTTCTGTTAAAAAAAACCTCTGTGATAAATTACTGACAGACAGTCTGATTACAGCTAACACAACATAGAGTACAAAATCAGTTTCTTAGCAGCAGGTTAGAGCTGAGCATAAAAAAACATGTTAATTTCACTGAATTTAGCTTTATGGCTGCTGCCATATTATCAGTGTTGTTTTTGGTCAATAATAATTATCTGTTTATTAATTATCTGTATTTAGCAATCAATAGCAACAAAATGCTACCATTGAGGCTTCTGAATGTGGAGTCCAGAAACCCGTGCATGACATCACAGCTGCTGTGGCTGCTGACGTTTTGGGTGATTGAGGATTCAAGCTGCTGGGCCCACTGAGTCATTTTATGAAGCTTCAAAATGTTTTCAGACTCTTATTGTGAAGCCATGCTGCTGGAATAGATGCAGCATGTGGTTTAGCACTGTCTTGCTGAAATATGCCATACCTTCCCTGAAAACATGTCTTCTCAATGGGACGTGTCTTTCAGCACTGATGGTCTTTTTCCAGATGTGCAACCTACCAACTCCACAGGCACTGATGCAACCCATTACTATCAGAGAGGCAGGGTCCAGAGGACGTGTTGTCCACGTTCAGAGCATTTCAGACTTTGTAGACACAGTTTTCTTTTTGTAGCTTGATGAACCTCTTCCCATTTAAGCCCACACCGAGTAGCAGACCTTCAGACTGGTCTCCTCAGCACCGTGACAGATAAAAACTATCAAAGACTCTTCTCTCTGATTTAACCTGTTAGCAGTCGGACGTACCGCCCACGGTACATTGGATGGTTTAGGGGACTAATTGTAAATTTGTAGGACTGCTAAGGGGTTAAACTCATCATCAGTGTCCTGGTCGCTGTGCAAAGCTTCTTCTACTGTGTTTCCTGCTGCTAAATCTGTTCAGGGTGATGTTTGTCCTGAGTTTGTCCAACACCTCCATCCCTCAGTGTCTGTCACAGAGGATCCCTGTTGGGTCGTTTAGCCCTCTTGTATCTTTGGCGTTCCCGGCTCCGTTTGTGGACCGACGGGAACAGCTGCTGCTGGCTCTGATCAAAGCAGACTGGGGCCTGAGCACCGTCAGTCCCTGTGTTCAGCAGGGCCATTCTGTTTGGGATTATCACACCTGTGGTTCAGGGATTAATCCCAGCAGAGACATGGGAACCAGGAACAAGAGGCTCCCGAGAATGGCTGCACTACCTGAGTGCATGCTGGGAGTTTGGCCCCATAAATTGACTTTTTCATTTAATGATCAGTTGATTGTTCTAAATTAGTTTGGATCTAACCGATAAAGAACATTTTCAGGGAAACTGCAGAAACATGCAAGTCTGAAACTGAATAAAGTGTTTGTCATAGCCTGTATTTAAAAGATGTAACCTGTGTGACATCACCGAATGGTTTGTGAGGTTGTGCGTTTGAAGGCTGAGCGTTTTGGCTCTCAACTTTTTGAAACCAGAGGTCTGCAGCGTCTTTGGGTCTGAAAAGTGAAACCAATGCTTTAGACTTGCAGTGTTTCCAATGACCAGCAGGGGGCGTTTCTGTCTGATTCTATGGGAGTCTGAAAAAAATGTACCTCCTTCTCACCCAGCTTATAACCTCAGTTATTTCTTGCTCAGTCATTAATTTTAAGTCTTAATGAATGCCATACAATTTTTATTTTATAAATTCTGATCATATTAGAGGGGAAAGGAGGAGAAACCAGAGCAAACTAGTGCATGCTAGTTGGCTAACAGCAACTGAAGTTTCAAAATAAATGCCAGGGGATTGTTTGCTACTGAAGTATTCATGTTGTTGTTCCAGACAGATGAAAAAAACAAAATAAAACTGAAAGAATGCCAAAGAAACTCTACATATATGTAACAAATGTCCATAAAAAGTAAACACAAGCCAGCTTGAATTAATTCAGTGATGCACGGATGCGTTTCAATTTTAAAGAATGACACAGAAAACACTCAGACCTACTTTGAAACAATCATTCGTGTCTAAAAGGAACTGCATTGAACATATTTCAGGTCTTTCGGTGTCGTGATTCTTCAGCATGTCGCCCTCCACTCACTGTGGAGACGAAATAATGATCTAAATGAATGGAAATGTCATTGACTGAACACATGAGGTCTTTACTAGTTTGGTATTTGCTAAAGTCTGACCTCCGACCTTTGAGCGCGATTCCAGCGGCGTCATGTGTCCACACACGATCAGGCCGAGCAGAAAATCCTCTCCTTGTTTGCTTAGCTTGTTCGACTGTTTCCCGCTCTGTTCCCTGTGAGCCCGTCTGTCCAACAGCTTTAAGTCCTGGCTGGCTTCACCCTCCACCCCCCACCCAGAAGGTCAGGCGTCTGAACCCATCACACACACACACACGTATGTAAAAACACACCAAATACCACTAATGCCACTTGTGCAGCAGCACCTTTTCTCTCACATTGTTTGACAAACATGGGCTTAACCCTGTAGGACCCTTAGAGACACACACTTCATTAAAGCAGCCACAAAGGCGGCATCTTAAAAACACTCTTCATTTTTCCCAATTTACCTCGCAGCTGCAGACGAGGGACAAATTAAAGGAAAAACTTGAACTTTTAACCCTACAGTGAGGAGATTCGGTGTCTCTTGCAGGGTTTGGGTCCCACATTTGTGTCCTAAGTGGTGTCATCTTCAGTAGATCAACCAAAATGAGCTGAAAATATGATTGATTAATTTGATTTTCCTGTCGTGTCATGACTAAATCAATACGCCCAGCTCAAACAGCCTCATAAATACCAATAAAAAAAAAGTTGATCCGAGGAGAACTATAACCTACAATTACTGAAGAAATAATCCAATAAACCAGTTTTTTTTAACTCACAAGTGACCGAGCTACTTTATTTTAATGGCTGTTTGGGTTTCTCACACCTGTACCTTGTCCTTTATTTGTGATGGTTACTCTAAAATATTCTAATGCAAAATTAATCACAGTTTTCAATAATGTAAAATAAGCTAAAACCCCCACAAATTGTGCTTTCTGTAATCCAGTACGCTTGTATTATTTTAACATCAAAACACCGATGAACCAGTAACTCCATAATACTTTGATCAACAACAAATTACTTCCATGCTTCAGTTTCAAGCTAAATGTGAACAAACATCTGGTTTACAGATGTGGAAGTCTTCAAGATTTTTGTGCAAAAAGATGAAAAAAAATATTTAGATTCATGAAATATCTGAAAATTGTGCTAAAAGAGAAGTTTATTTATGTAATAATAACTACAGAGAAATTACAATAAGATCAGAAGACTGCAATATTAAAGAGAGAGAGACGCATATTTCACACAGCTCTGCATTATCCGCACCATTAGCCTCAATCAGTTTAATCAGGTCCTGTAAAATCTAAGAAAAGATGCAGAAGGTTGGTTGATACATTCATGGTGGGTTATTAATCATGTTCATGAATAATAACATCCACAAACAGCAAAAAACATGGACATATCTTCAAGATCAGTAAACTGAAGCCAGTGTGGACGTGACTTAAATCTGCT